GAGAAATATAATTCCCTCAACACAGTCCATGAATTTAGCAGAGAAGCTCATTTGACAGCCATCACTAACTGACAGTCTGAACTACAGAATTTGAACACAAAACTTAGATTTTTGTACTTAGCACAGAAAGTACTTAATGAATGAAAACGAAATGGTTACTCTGAACTAAAATTATTTATTTTCCAGAGCCAGTGGTTCCCCAGCACCTCCTGCACAGTTTTGCTCCCCGTGTCCCATCCACGCTGACTTTTCCAGCTGTCTGGGAGTGAAAGGAAAAGAAATCATCCCATATGCTGCTGCCCATTAAATAAATGGCCAGTCTTTTGAGTCCTAAAAGGGGATTTTTAGCAAACAAAAAGAAAAACAAGGCCAACACAGCTTAGACAACAATAGCAACAAATCTCGGTCAAAGGCAAGTGACCCTCGAGCTGCTCTGGGCATATGGAGGTCTCAGTCCTTTTCAGAAAAAACCCTTCCTCTGCTTCCCATTAGCCTTTGGCTGACTTATTGGGAGGAAACTGTCCTGGTTTGGCCTCTCAGCTGCTTCCTTCTGCCTGCCAGCACCAGCAGCTCTGCCAGCAGAGCTCTGGGACTCGTCACCCATCACCCCAAAAATGCTCAGGTGTTCCCCAGGCACTCCCTGGGTGCTCCCAGGATCCTGAGCCTTGCAGGGAACCAACCCAAGCTGCTCAGCTCCTTTTCCATCAGCAAACACGGATCCTGACAGGGCAAGGGATTCAATCTCTCTGCACTGAGGTCACCCACAGACCCACTTCTAATGAATTCTTCATTACCTGCTCCAGTCACCTCATGCTTGGCTTCTGCCTGCAGGCAGAAAGGAAGGCAAAAGGAGTAAGAATAAATTATTAATTAATCAATAGAAGAGGCATTTTGGTTTTACTGTGGATAAGTGACTCCCTTGCCTTGGCAATACATCCTTAAGATCCTGGAAAACCCACTCTGAGTCCAAGCACGTGCCTGGCAGTCACTGGAGTATCCCAGGCTGGACAAAGGGGCTCAAGTTGTCATTCAGTTTCAGAACCTGTTCTTCAAGAAGCTACCAAAAGAAATCACTGGAACCAAGAAGCCCTACCAAGCATCTTAAAACTTTACTAGAAGCACTTGTCAAAGTCCTTGTAATTTAGCCCAAACACTGAAAATAAGCCCTCTTGGATTAAGGAAAGGGTTTCCCCTCTGACAGAAGGTATTTTTCCTATAAGCATTCAAACTACTTTCCACCACAGGATGGAGTAGTTTGGTTTCAGCATGCAAAATGCAGTTGCTAATTTTAAACATATTTTAAAGAAGTTCTCCAGTTTTTCTAGGAATGTCCATGTTTAACATGGGTTTTTGGTCAGACTGTACAATTCCCACCAGCCCACTTCTGCTGCCCATTTCCATTTTCCTGGAAGCACCTCCTCTAGGATGCTTACAAATCAACAACAAGAATTTGATCAAGACTCAATCACGGCATGCAAGGTTCCAGCCCAGTAGCTATCCTTATTTATTATATTTGGGATCAAAACTTTCAAACTGGACATATTTTCCTTTTGGACTCCTGAGCTACAAACTAAAAACAATGTACTTTATATTTTCCTCATAAGCTTCTTTGAAATAAACTCCAAAGAGAATTGAAACAACCAACAAGAACTCCTGAATGAGAAACCTGAGCAGTGCAAATTAAATGAGCATTGTAGCACCCTGAACATCACTTTGTGTTTGCACGTTTCTGCTCCTTGAGAAATGGAATTTGGCAGGTCAGATTTTGAGGAAAAGGTCTTGGAGAGACAGAATCAGCCTTCCCAACCCTTCAGCTCCTGGTGTAACACAGGCCCCAAGCGTGCCAGAGGAATGCTCCCTCCCAATCAAACATTCCCCCTCTGCTGCTGGTGAAAGGCAACGAGATCTCTCTTTACAACCCTGGTCTTGCCCAATAAATTTTGCATGAAAACACGTCAGCCCAGCCCAGAATTCCTGCTGGCAGGCTGGGAGGTGATGAATGTTTAATGCAAACAACACCCCCAGCTCGGTGTCAGACAACAGCTCCCGCACGGCCCCCTTTGATCCCAGCACAGCTCCCCAGCAGTTCTGGGTGCTCTGCCCCACACAACTCCATCACCTATATGCAAATCAGGGCCAATTACCATAAATGACTTCCTACTGCACCGGCTGGCAAGAAGGAAGGGAAAAATAATCATGTGCCAAGCTCCAGGAGAGTGTGACTCAGGAAAGTCCAATGCTCCCACTTGACTCCTGATGTTTTCTCCAAACAGCAACAATCTCATGGACAGGCATCAGCCACCCACGTGCCATCCATGGGGCACTGGGCATGGATCCAACTCCAAGGGATTTGGGGAAATGCCACTGGAAAAAGGTCCCCAGACAGGGGGAGCTCAGTGAAACCTTAAAGCCCTGAAGGGTGGAACTGAAAGGAAAAATGGAGATGGTGTTTGATCAATGAGCTCCTCAGCTCTGTAATACTGACAGGACACAGGAAATGGCTCCCATTACCAGGGGCAAGAGATGAGATTTAGGGAAGGAATTGTTTGCTGGGAGAGTGGGAAGGGAGTGGCACAGGGTGCCCAGAGGAGCTGTGGCTGCCCCTGGATCCCTGGCAGTGCCCAAGGCCACCTGGAGCAATCTGGGCCATGGAAGGTGGCCCTGCCATGGCAGAAGGTGGAATGAGATGGGATTTAAGGTCTGTCCAGCCCAAACCATGCCAGGATTCTGGGATCTGTCAAAGTATTTAGGAAGCTGTGAAACCATTAATGCCCAAATGTATCGATAACCTTATTAAGGATCAGCAATTAAACCAGCGGTCAGGTTGATAAATGGTTCACCACTTCTTTTCTCTTAACAACCAAGGAGGCTCTTAATTTATTCCATTAAAAATTGTCAAAATCACTTGGAGAAGTAATCCCAAATTCCACTAGTACACAAGCAACGATGAGACACAAATCTAGGAAAAGTTATTTAAAACTAACAAGCTTTTAGTAGCTTTCCCCCCCAATTTAACAATGAACAAGGAGCCTTAGGAAAAACACCTCTCAGAACAACAGAATTTGCATGTTTTGAAGCTGTTCAAGACTTGAAACATCAAAATTCAACAGCACACCCATCCAGGTCAATGAAGACATGCATGCAGGTTGTTTTAAAACAAGCCAATTTCAAAAAGCATAAATAAAAGATGAATGCAATGCTTTGATTAGTACAAAAAAAATAGTTGGAAAACATTGTAGTACTGTAAAACCCTCGCTTCCGCAGACTTGGACAGCTGAAGGCTTCCTGCATGTAGATGTTGTTGGTCTAAAGGTGGGATTTGGGGGTGGAGGGAACTCCCTGGAGCTCCCAGCCCACATTCCCAGCAGCTGCTGCAGGATTTCCCTCCACAATGGCTGGACAAGTGGAACAAGCCTTAAAACATTTCAGGGTGTAAGAGTTTCACAGCCCATCTCATGAACAGCTGGTGCTTCTCCAGCACTCCAGAAATTCAGTGCTCAGCATTAGAGAATCATCACTGAAACAGGCAATGCACAATGCCCAGAATACTTTTTTTAAAAATAATTTTCTTTTTTTTTTTTTACTTTTGAAATTTCTCTTGAGATGTTTACTGTGAATGAATCTAAAGCTGCCCCAAAAAAAACCCCAAGCACAGACCCATCACATCTACAAACACAGGCAAGCCAAGGACAGAAAATCATCATTAGGGTTCACAGGAGCCACAAATTTGCTGCTTAATTAGTGGGAAAAAAATGCATTTTGATTCTGTGCTTTAGAGGAGCAGTAAAGCCCCAAATATACTACATCTCTCAGATAAGCTGCAGTGCTGCCAAGCTGAAATACCTCCTTTTATGCAAAGTTAAACTATAAAGTCAAGCAGCACCTGACAATTTATGTCCCTTCTTCCCACAATGTGGCTTCAGGCTGATCTTCATTACAGCTCCAAAGCAGCTATTTTGAATAAATACATTGCAAACAGCCATGAATTTAAACTGGGAACCAGACCTGGTCCTTGAGGTGCCTTTGAGGAAGGATCTGCTCAAATACTGAGGCCACAGGATTGTTACCACTACAGATTCCCTGATGCTGGAGGTTCTGGAAGGGCTCTGTAGAATAATGAGACTTTCCAGACTCTGGGTCTAGAAATTCATCTGCTTGGAGAGTCCAAATTGGATCCAACTTAACCAGGAATTTTCCTGCTGCCGCAGGGAACAAAGGGAAAATTCCAGAAGCCCACATGTGGGTGGAAGATGCTGCTCTAGAAATCCCCCAGGAGCATTTTTCAGTGGGAATCCACCCAAGGGAAGGTCATGAAGTGACACCTCAGCGGGTTTTTTTTGGAAGGGATCAGACAAAGAGGGAAAAGACAGCCCAGGAAAGGCTGCACAGGAGCATGATGTATAAAGCAGAGGGAATTACATAAATTACATACATGTAAAAAATTACATTGTCTTTCCTGCAATCTGACATCAACAACCCAAGTCATTCCAAGCAGAAACTGGACTGACAGCAGGTTCTCAAGGGTTCCCATCATTCACCCAGAGCAAGGCTTGTGCTGGAACTGCATTTTGAGCCTCAAGCAAAGCCCAGGAGGATCTCCTGCCACTGGGAGGAGGTGCAGGTGTGTGTGAACAGTGAAACCCATCTTCTGCTAGGAAGAAGCCCTCATGCTTTCCAATATTCCTCATTTTCCCCCTAAATTACGGCTGTTACATATGGGAAGAATGTTAAAATTAAAAAAGTGCAGACAGCTCTTTAATTCACCTGAAACCAAGCGGGGAGGGAAAGGGTAGAAAATTAAACCACACTTAGTGCAAAACACTGCCACACTGCAGAACCGCAAACCCCTACAAACCCCACCCTCCAAACAGTCTGAATAATTCCCCACCCTTCAAATATTCTGAATTTACATAGAAATTAAGGAAAATTATCACAAGAGTAAAAGCACCCGCGTCGCTGCCCGGTTTCGCCCCAGCTGCATCCTTCGGCGTTTCACTCACCCAGCCTTGGTGCCATGGATCTCCTTGTCCTTCCCTTTGCCCTTGTCCTTGGCCTTGTCCTTGTCCCTGGCCTTGCGGCGCTCCCGGGACCCGCCGGGGGTTCTCCTGTGGCCGGACCTCTCGCTGCTGCGGCTGTACGAGCGCTGCCGGGCCCGCGAGCGCGACCTGCGGAACCACAGAGCTGCACAACTCCACTGCTGCTTCCTGGCTTCCTCTCAGCTCGGGAGCCAAGTGCCAGAGCTGGCAGTCCGTGCCCAGGCTCAGGTGTTTATTATTTCTCATCTGTGTTAAGAGCTGTGAGCCCTACAGTGTCACTGTTAGGTTGGGTGTGACACGCACACACACGCGCGATCGGGGTTTTTATCCTGCGTGTTCTCCAGATCATACACTCTTAACAAAGAGTGATCTTAAGTCATTAACCACATCAAGTTGTCATTCAATTTTAGAACACGTTAACTTGTTATATTCATTATATATATGTTCAATAAAGTATTATATTTACTGCTGCAAAGCAATTAACGTCAATATAATTAGCAAAAGTTTTACAGAAATTTAATAAGACATGTATGCACATCTACTTATGTAAGCCTAGCTTACAAAAAAGTTCATGTATCTTTTTTAATCTGTTCCCATGCTGACAGCCTTCCTCTTCTTCCTTGCTATGGATACACTCAAAAATTTGTTATTTCTTCTATTAACTCAACTTTGCTTGCAAGCCAGCTATCAAGCCTCCCCATACTACAGCATTCTACTAACACCCTACCAAATGGCTAACTACCTTACTATACTTTTAAGGCTAAACTATCCAGTTAGGAAATGACACCTAAATTATTTTCATTTTTAACCCAGTAACTGATCCCTCAAAGTCCACAATGCATCCACTTTTCTATCCAATTACAAAATACCACCCAAACCCATGAAGAAGGACCAGCCTCCACCCCAAAACCTCCATCTTGCTTTATATATGTATCACTAAATTCTAAAATCCCAAACTCTCAGTTTCCCACCCTGTGACAGTGCCAAACTCCACCCCCACAATCCCAGGTCTATCATTCCATTTTGGAAGCCTTCTCCATGGCATGAGGTCAATGCAGTGTTCTCTCAGGGGTCAGTGCCTTGTCAGCACACAAAGTCTGAAATTCTCAGTGACCAGGGTTCCAGCACTCCAAGATCGAGTTCAACCCAGCCCTAACAGCCCAACTAAACCTGGCACTGAGTGACACACCCAGTCTGCCAAGATCGAGTTCAACCCAGCCCTAACAGCCCAACTAAACCTGGCACTGAGTGCCACACCCAGTCTGCTTTTAAACACATCCAGGGATGGTGACTGTGATGCCCAAACTGAGTGACACACCCAGTCTGCTTTTAAATACATCCAGGGATGGTGACTGTGATGCCTTCAGAGGCCACCTGGAACAAAGGCTGGGAATGATAAAGGGATAAAGCAGGGATTTATTAAAAGGCCTTTAAAGGATACACTCTGGGCAGTACAAGAGCCTGGCTGAGCCTCTGCCCAAGATGGACCCAAGGTCAGGAGTTCTCACCCTTTGATAAGTTTTGGTCCATTTCCACGTTGAGTTCTCTGTCCAATTCCAGCCCCAGGCTCTGCAGTCCCACCCTCCCAGGTTGCTCCCCTCCATTCCCTGCTGTTTGCACTGTTGGGCTGAAGCTGCAGCGGTGTCCTTGGTTCTGGGGCTGGAAGAGGATTGTTTTGTGTGCTTGAGCTGAGAGGAGAGCTGCTGGCACTGTGTGTGGAGTTCAGAGTTTGTTTATATATATACTGTTATAATGCAGTACAGAACCTGGAAAATATAAAAGCTAAATCCTGAGGCATCAGGTGGACTGACAGGAAAAAATGACCCCAAAGCAACTGAAGAGATTCTGATTAAAACAGTTTAAATCTTTTTACAGGATCTATTGGATTATTTAAACAAGCAGGAGTCACCAAAACTCTTGTGAGAAGCACCCAGATAGTGAAGGAAGGTTCTTCTTCACTAGAGAAAGAAGCTGCTTCTAGGCAGACAAAAAGGATTCCCATAGTGTAAAATACCAAATTAGTCTAACAGTACCATCAATTCCTCTGCCTTCCCCTACAGAGGTATCTAGATAATTTTCTTCTCCAAAAACCAGAGTGAGTGAAGTCAGACATCAGCAGGCTCAGTTTGCTACCAAGGGTTTCATCTCCAGGTTTTAGAAGCTTGTGACTACTCAGCCCTGAATACAAACACTTTTAAAAATGCTATAAAGGTCTAAAGTGAAAATCTCAGAGCTCTTACTGCCCTGGTTCACAATTACCAAATTTCATCATCAGAACAACCCATCAGCCATTTCTCACCAGCACTGCACCTCAGCCTTGGTACAGTTTTATTTTATTATTTAATTTCAATACATTTAATAAATACATCTAATAATGTAGCACATGTCACAATTTAATACCTTTAAACTGACAACTTAGCAAAAGAAGATAAAAAGACAACATGGTTCCTGCTCTGAAAAGAGATGCAAAATAAAACACACAATTGATTAATCCATTAACAGAATGGAAAAAAAGATCCAGAAGTATTAGGGCTGGTTCTTTGTGTGTACAAAATGATTTCATTATTCCTGAATTTCTTGTAGAAGATTTTCTAAGTTTTATTTAATAATTTATCATGGATCAATGCTGCCTGAGTGGACAAGGGATATTTAGGGAAAATCAGGTCAAGTTTTCCTTGGTTTCTCTTGCCTGAGCACCCTGGCCTTTGGAATGTGTCCCTCCCAGGGCAGGGGATGGAATGAGATGGGCCTTAAGGTCCCTCCCAACCCAAACCATCCCATGACTCCACAATTCCATGATTCCCATCAAAGTTCTGATGGCACCTCATGGAAAAGTTCCACTAAGTACTGAGGGAAATGGGGAAATTTTTAAAACAGCATTAAAATTTTTTTTAGCACTTCTTGGAGTGCAAAACTCCCAAGGCCTTTAAAAGCCAAATCACACAGACAAAATCCCTCCTTTTATGAAACAACAACTGCTTAATAAAACTCAACAATAGACTAAGCAAAAGAAAATCCTCCCTCCAGATGAGGCTATAAATTACATTTCTGGAATTTGTCCAGCACATGGGAGTTCAGGTCCCTATTCCTGCCAGGAGCAACTCCAGAGGTCAGGGCTGGGTTCCTGTTTCAGCAGCTGGTACCTTCCAACAGCAGCTCTCCCATCCTGGTCACTCTATTAACACTAATAAATAGATCAAATTACCACTGCAGTGCTGGATTCTTAACTGGAGAGCATTTGCTGGCTCAAAATGGATTTTCAGTGTGTCATCACAAATGTAAAAGCGTCCATCCATCCATCCTTACTCCTCAGGTAGAGGAAGTTTTGATTTTCAAGAGCATTCTGGATATTAAATCTAATTTTTGTTTGGCACAGAGACACTGTTTTTATAAACATCACGATGAGGCAGCACAGATTTACAGAGCACTGCCCTAAATCCACTATTCCCAGGTAACACTGGCTTCTCAGAACTCTGCAGGTAAGTCCAAAACAGAAAATAAACCCCAAACAACAAAACAAACAAAGTCCTGTAGCAACACGAATCACCCTTAATTGATGCAGGGCCTCTCCTCACTTAATGGCACAGTCCTCCCACCAGGAATAACAGGAATCTAAAATATTTATTGCTCAAGAACTCCAGTTTATCAGCTCAAATCTGAACTGGAGTTCTGTTCTACCTTTTGCAGGTGCAAAAAACAAACTCGGCTCAGGCAGGCTGGATGCTCAATAACTGAATTTCTGCTCATTCCCATATCTGTGCAGAACTGGTGGCAGGTGACATTTATATACAGAAAACAGCTTTTAAAAATTAAAGGAGTTCTTGCATCAAATTTCCCCATCCCTGGCAGTGTCCAAGGCAGGGACTGGAGCTCCCTGGGACAGTGGAAGGTGTCCCTGCCATGGCACTGTGCCCTCAGTGTCCCACCACCCTCACAGGGATGAATTCCTTCCCAATATCCCATCTAAACCTCCCCTCCACCAGCTTCAGGCCATTCCCACTTGTCCCATCACTCCATGGCCTTGGGAAGAGCCTCTCTGTACTGTTCCTTAATTCCTATTAAAGTATCTTGCAAGATCTACAGGACAGGAAATCAAGATAAAACTTCCTGAAATGGAGCTCCCAAAAGTCATCTGTGCCCCCAGCTCATCGCCAAACCACAACAAAAGTCCACAGATCTGCCAGAGAAGACAGATTTTCTATTTTATCTGCTGTTGAAAAATAACAAGAATCACAATTAGTCCTATTAAAGCAAGACCCCAAATGTTCAAATTATGGAACTACCAGAGGGGGGGAAAAAAGAAAAAAAACCAACCAAGAAGTGAAGCTGTAGAGGAGATTTCCAGCATGGATCCCCTTCCCCCCCAACGACACCCAAAACACCCACCCACCATGCCAAAGGTTAAGTCATTTAGTCAAGTTCAAAGATCTTCAAAGGGTTCTTAGATCCAGATAAGCCCATATGTTCCCAAAATTCTGTGAAAAGCCATTACTTTCCAATCTGCTTTTCATGTCTAAGTTGCAGAACACACAGATGCTTGGCATCACTCGGGATCCCTAAATTCTCACACCAGATAATCAAGGCTCACCAATAACTTCCCTATCTCCAACCCTAAGAAATGGCTTTATTCCATCAGCACTCGGGCCGCTTGTCAAAATTGAAAGTCTCCATAAAAGCCCATTCAGTTACTGCACAATAAGTGTTAATTTGCTAATTTCTTCACAGGTAATCAATTAAAATGTAAAATATTGGATAAAATTAGTTGCACTAAATTTAACAGCTGCTCCATAAGCATAATTAGTTTCACAAGGGCCATATGTATTCTGAGCAGAGACCGAGTTGAAACAAATAAGAGGATTTTAAAACAAGTTTGAGGAAATCTGCATTTAATTAGCAGGTGGGCACTACAACTGCATAATGTTTTTATACATTTATATTTATGAAGTGACAGAAGATCTAAAGGCTTTTTAAAATGGCGTTTATTGTTTGAATGGGAACTGTTTTGCTGCATGCTAAAGTGATTTAAATCCTTATAGCCCCGCTTTGAAAAAATCATAAATGGTGAAAGAAAACATGTGGAAAACTGTAAAACTAGAAAGAATTTGCGACAAAAAGCAGAGCCACATACC